CATTTTTTTCTAATGCATACATTTAGTTCCATAAATTTCCCTGTCAGCAACTATTCCCCACCAATTTTGAAGGACTGTTTCCATTTTAATTCAGTTCAGTGTAGTTTTTATTACCTTTGAGACTGTCCTCTTGACCTATGTATGGATCATGTAGAAGTGTGTTTAGGTTGAAAGGTTTTTTTTAAGCTGGTATATTTAAATCATTTACGTCTGATATAACTGTCAACAAGATTGTTCAGTCTGGCAATTTATTTCACTGTCAGTGTTTTGTTTAGTCTTTTGGTTTTTTCCCTGTCTGTGGGTGACTTTGATATATTTTAAAAATTCTATTTTGACTATCTAGTTATGTTTTTTCCAAAACCATTTTTGGGGTTCTAATACAGATATCATATCGTTCCATAGTTCAATCACATCAAGCAGTATTGTACAACTGCTACCACGGTCTGCTTCAAAACATTCTCTTCCTTTTTGAACTCCTTGACCTTGGCGCTCCCCTGCTGGAGCTGCCATGAGCCGTATTCTACTTGCTGTCTCTATGGATTCATCGATCCTGGGTTTCGCAGACGGTCCATCTCTAGGCCACACAAGGAGAGTTGTAGGCAGGGGCTCTATCTTGGTGCCATCTTCCCACAATCCTCTGATTATCTTTTTTTTTCTTTATATAGCTTTTTTCAGTGTTTTCTCTAGTTATTACATCCTATGAATATCTTGCCAGTCTCCGGATGTCTTATATCAGGACTGTAAATGAAATGGGGAGCTTTACTTCCCTTTCTCTCTCTGTGGTTAAAACATAACTGTCCTAAATAGCCCCTCTGTGGGCATTTGGAACCACACTAGACGGTGCTGAAAGGATGCTTCAGTGGTCAAACATGATACCAAACACTCAAGAGGGAAAAAAGAAAGCCTATTATATTTACTCATATTTTTGCTTACCATGCTTCTCTTTTTTTCTTGATGTTCTAAGATTCTTTTCTTTTATCATTTTCTTTAAGCATACTTCCCTTAGCTGTTCTTTTAGGGTAAATCTTTTCACGACAAATTCTCTTATTTCCCGAATGCCTTGATGTTACCTTCATCCTTCAAGGCTCTTTTCTGTGAGGATTGAATTCTGGGTCGCCTCTTCTTTTCTTTTAGTGCTAGCAAAGTAACGTGTCACGTTTTCATCACAGTGTTCAGTTTTGGGTCTGCACAGTATGCCAGCGTTTGGGTATATGGGGAACACAAACAGTCTCCTACTGGTGGAGATCAGATGTTTTGGAAATGAAATTAACCTGCCCCTGTCTAGAGAAGGTGTTTGGGAAAGCCGCGTGCAGCCGGTTCCCGTTTCCCCGGAGGTTTCCCTGGACTGGATCCCTTTTGGGGCGGGGGCACCAATGAACCACAGTCATATTTCTTGAGCATTCTTATGTGCATTTGTGCATTCTGTGCGAGGAATACTGACTGTACCATAGACTGCCAGGAGAATGAACAAGTGGATCTTGAGAGTACAACCAGAATGTTCTCAGCATACAGGACGGCAAACCTTTAATCTCACATTCTTTGGGCATGCTATCAGGAGAGGCCCATCCCTGGGCAAGGCCATATGCTTGGTAAAGTAGTGGGTCAGAGAAAAAGAGGACCTTCAATGTGATGGACTGACCTAGCAGTTACAATGAGCTCAAACTCTCACAGGACAGACAGTGAAGATGGGGCCGAGGCAGGCAGTGTTTCATCTTGCTGCGCTGAGGGAAGCTAGGCGAGTCGGAGCAGACTGGAGGGCGCCTCACAACAATCACTTGCGTCGGTAGGAAGCAAAGAGGCAGACCAACCTACAAGCACGGAGACGTCAATGAAGAAGTCACCTATGCAGAGCTTCCCCATGGTGTAATTCTGTTATACGGTTACATAGGTCTGATTATTTTTTCATATGCAAGTGACTTTCTAATATTGCTTCCCTGCCACTCATGTTATAAAGTGCAAGGTCTTACCTTAATTTGCTTACTGCCCACTTAGGGGTTTCAGGACTTGGGCCACCCTCCTACCCCTGTCCCCAAGTGACAACGGTACAACGTTGCCTTGTTATTTACAGAACGTTGTCATGAGTCAGCACCAACTGAATGCAAGGCAACAAGTAGAGCACGCTCTAAGGTGAATGACAGCCAGGGAGGTTGTTATGTTGTTGTTAGGGACCACTGGCTCTGTGACCCTCTGTACAATGGAAGGCAGCACTGCCCGGTTGTACACCTGCCTCACCATGGTTGGCATGCCGGCGCCCATTGTTGCAGCCCTTGTGCCAATCCATCGTGTCGAGGGTCTTCCTCTTTTTTGCTGCCCCTCTACTTTTCCAAGTATGATGTCCTTTTCCAGGGATTGGTCTCTCCTGATAACCCGTCCAAAGTACCTATTCCTTAATAGGATACCAACAAGAGTTTTAGTTCAAAAGTTACTTCAACACACGGGGTTTCCTCCAGAAACTTCAGTTTTCTAAATTAAATGAGCTTGTTTCATTGCAGGGTCCACGGTCAATGTCCTCAATTCAGGGCTGGCTGCTTTCTCCGCCGGTGTGATGATTGAGGGTTGGCAGGCGTCCACACTCAATCCTATCTGATAGGACATCTGTACAATTGCTTGCCATGTTCAATGGAGAGAAGTCAAATGACCTCCTTCTCGACTTAATATTTATCTTTCTACATGATGACTTTAATGGCTTCTCCACGAGGCATTTAGGGCTAGGAAATCTGCTGAGTGATCCAGGAGACAAATTCTTACCATCCTGGCTGAGCAGAGCCATGATTTATTACACTGGGCTGAGAGAGCAGCGGCTCATGGTACAGCAGGGCTTCCCACGGGTTTAGTCATGGCTGACAAAGTGAAACAAGGGCTTAAGCAGAAAGCAAATGTTTTGAGAATGATGATGGCAACAGATGTACAAATGTGCTTGACACAATGGATGGATGGATTGTGATAAGAGTTGTATGAGCCGCCAATAAAATGATTTTTAAAAAATGGGGGTGGTGGGGGAGAGAAAAAAGAGGAGCTGATACCAAGGGCTCAATAGAAAGTAAATGTCTAGAAAAGAATGATGGCAACATATGTGCAAATGTTTGATACAATTGATGTATGGATTGTTATAAAAGTTTTAAGAGCCCCCAAGAAAATGATCTTAATAAAAATATGGGCGACCAACATGGTAACCAGAACAGGAAAATGACAGCCGAAGCCCTGGACCAAGAGCTCTGAAGAGGCAGAGGGAGCCCTTTTAGGAGCCTGATGCCTGCTGTTGAATGATGGGCAGGATCGAATTGAGGCAGTCAGCCGCCATCTTTGAGCAGGGCGCTGCTAGCCTGACTCTGCTGAAGCTGACAGGGAGGAGATGTGGTTGCTTTTCAATGCATACCCTGCCTTTGGTTTGGGTTTTGTCCTTTCTTAAGAGGGAGATTAGGTTTCTAGCTGGGCTATGGCCTGTAAATTTTCTTTTCCCAATTATCTTTCCAGTTCACCCAAACTACAAATTTCCATCTGTTACTGTTTCACTTCCTGGGTCATGAAGGCCTATAGTCAACCCAGCCAGAGGATTTTCTTAAACCCAATGGGCCAATGAGCAGCAACTGGGCCACCAGGTCTGGTGAGTCACCCTGACCAGTCACCGGGGCTCTTCGCCCTCTGTAAAGGACAGCTTGATTGTGGAGAGAAAGGGATAGAGATGGGGAGGGAAGGAGAGGGACACTCAAAGGTGTCAAAAGATCCTTTGCTACTGGGTGTTCAAGATGTTCACTGTTCACGGCATCATGTGCGGTCCTTGCAGAAATACTATGCTCACAGACAGCACTTGGGTTCCTCTGGCCGGAAGCCAGTCACCATGTGTTTATGCCAATGGCACACGAGTCACTTATTTTTTTGGCACCATGCTATTTTCACAAGCGCTTCTTACGGACGGGCACATTATTTGCACACAAAAAAATATGGCCTTTCATTTCTTGTAGAAAGACTCCTTGTGCTTCCATCCCTGACCCATGTGGGCTGAGTGAGGAAGACCTGATATAGCCGGGACCACGGGTTCGTGAGAGGCAGCACCAACCCTTGCAGCTCCAGCTGTCCCGACCCAAGTGCAATGTTCCTGAGGATGCGGGCTGAATGGGCACTGTTGGGGAAAAAAAATGACCGCAAGGGTATGGCTCTTAACAACGTTGGTCAGATGGTAAAGATGGAAGCCGTGGTACAGTCGCAAAGGGAAGGCTGGGGGAAGGAGGGGTGTGGGATAGTTGGGGGTAATCTGGAGTGATTCAGAGCCAGATCACAGCGCAACAAAACGTCTACCCAAATGAAACTGACATGAACGGTTAAAGCCTTGTCAGTTGATCCCCCTCTGACGCATGCTGGACCTGATCTGGTTTTCAGCATTTTCTGTATTTTTGGGGTTCTGTTTGTTCATATTAGAGGTTATCTTAGATGTGTTTTGTCACTGGGGGCCACCCTCTTGAATTTGTGCTATATGTTTCTCTGTTTTTCAGACTATGAAACCCAGGGCAGTAAGTAGAATAAGGGTTTCTGGGGGGCAGGGGGTAAAAGAGAAATGATGTTAGGGAGTCCAGGAAGGAAAAGAATGTTTGGGAACAGACTGTGGGAGCAATTGTACAATACCACTTGATGTCATTGAACTATGGAATGAAATATGTATTAACTCCCAATTAAAAAAAATATTGTTTTAAAGGGGGAAAAATAAGGTATTTTACTAAAAAAAAAAAAAAAGTTATCCAAGTCCTCAAAGGGATCTGACCTGAAGCCCTGAAATTTGAGATGTGGATCATAGAAAGGCACACAAAGGCAGCAAACCCGGTATAAGGATTCCCCGTGCCCCCAGCCTCAGCTCAACCATTACCAGTATTTCCTCCGCCTTGTTCCATCTACTCATTCCTCTCTTCTGGGTCTGCATGCTTTAAAGTAAACCTCCCAGGCACATTACCCCACCCCTTACCCCTTTCAGCACTGCGACTCAATAAATACCCGTATCCACTACCCAAGAAATCAGCAACGTTGTTTTTAATATGGATGTGGTACAGATGGTTTAATTACAGCAGGGTAGTGATTCCAGTTAAATAAAATTAAAGTCCTCTATTTCCCCCAATATAAAATTACTAAATTAATGTCTCCAAAGAAAATATATCATGGTGAAAGCTTTAAAGTATCCCACCGCTTGCCACGGGATCGGTGACTCGCCAGTTACGGACTCCATCACTTTGGCAAAAGGATGAAACATTGTTAAACAGTTTAAAACCTAACGACACAGCACAGACTGTATACACCTGCATATTGCACTTAATGTATGTACAAGAATAAAACAGGGAAGCCGAGTGCATTTTGCATCTACTAACAACAACACACACTCGTCACACTTAATGCAGAAGCCCATGGGAGGATTAAAAATGGGTAGAAATGCAGTGTGTATGTACAGGGTGCGGGGACCGTATTAACAAATGATATGTACATAGCGCTCTATGAACTTTTCCTGTTCGCTCTCTATTTTTTTTAGCATAGTTATGTTTCTTAATACAGGCCTTTGGCTCTAAACTGTTTGACTAGTTTGAAGCTCACATGGTTGTCTAAGCTTCACTCTCTCTCTTTTTTATGCAAGTAAATAAGTATAAAAGCACGAACCCTCCTGATTTCACCAGTACAAAAGTTACATCGGTCAATTCCTTTAGTCATCAAAAACTAGTCACAAAAATAGTTCTTGTATTCAACCTGAATGTGCCACAGGGAGGGAAAAAAATATCTTCAAGGTTTTCCATCTCTAGCCTTGAGGCAAAATGTCCAACCCACCCTCAGTTTCAGGGCTACTGCTGCTCCCCCCTCGCCCCCCACCCCCCAAAGCTTGTTCGTTTGAGGCCATTAAACACAACTCTTTAAGGAAGAATAAAACTTGCCCACGGTGTGAGCATGCCCATTATGCACCCTGTTAAGACACAATGAACACTTTATATATTGCCAGTGCTGTCTTTAAAAAAATATGTGCACCCTCTCTGGTTACAACTATGGAAAACCTGCTCTGACGTCATGAGTCTTTCTTTTCTGCCCCCTCATGCCCGGCCTTCCCTGGGCCTCGCCCCGTGATGGGCTGGGAAGATCATCCCGAGTTTGCAAATGACAAAGGGAGTCCACACCGGCGCTCACACCACGGAAGAAGAGCTGGTCATCCCATGAACCATTGTGCTTGTTGGTGTCCCGCTGATGGCGTTGAAGATGTGGAGTGAGTTGGGCAGGACGCTCGACTTCTCCTCCAGGGGGCAGATCTCGAGACAGAAACACAGTGTGACCAGGGCGAAATGTCACCAGCCAACGCCTCTCGCGCTCAGCAGTGTGTCGGACACAACATGCACAGCCTACTGTCCCTAAGACTGCTCTGGGCAGCATGGTGGGCTGCCGAGAGACAAAGGGTAGCACCGCTGGGAGTACGAGTCAGTGTGTACACAGCTCCATCCTCCACCCAGCTTGACTCCAAGGACCCAGCCTTGTGTCTCCCTGAGTCTTTTCTCAAGCACTGGTGCCTGCCTACTGGTTCCTTTTCTTGGGGGTTTATAGACGTCCATCATGAAAAGGACCTGGTGGCCACTACTCCATCTTTTCACATCCAGTGACAGTTGGGAGGAATCTGTGTGCAAGACTTTGACTTCCAGCCAGATGAGCATACATATGCAAAATCGAATCAACAATCAATCTCACTGCCATCCAATCAGTTCTGACTCAGAGAGACCCTATAGGGCAGAGTAGAACTGCCCCTATGTGTTTCCAAGTCTCTAATGGGAGTAGAAAGCCTTATCTTTCTTCTGTGGAGCAGTTGGTGGTTTCAAACTGCTGACCTTGCCTTTAGCAGCCCCCAGTGTGTGACCAGGGCTCCTTTACATACGTAAAGGTTCTTAGAAATGTCAAAAGGAACATCCCAAGTCCCCAACCTGTTTTGTTTAATGACGTTTTTAGAGACCAACACGCTCTATTAAGCGTCCATCCAATCTGAGAGTTTAACATTTCTGGCTCTTCAGTTGTGTGGCTGGCTCCATCTGTCCCAGAGCCCAAAGCGGGTCCCCTGAGCACGCTCTCTGCTCTGTGGGAAATCTGGGAGTTCCATGGCCAAGCTCTCTCTAAAGAAAGCATTTCTACGATGACTCTCCCTTTCTGTTTAATCATTCGTAGAACTCATTCCATCAACAAGCCAAAGGATTCTCCAATTTTCCCAAATGTTTAGAAGAGGGTTGCGTTCTACGACATATGCACCGTCATCGTGATGTCTGTCTGTGCCGTCACTCGGGCTCAGGAAGGACTTGCCATGAGTCAGTTTATCAAGATTCAGAAAAGTAAAATTTTAAATCGACATTACCATCCCATCTGAACGTGTTAGCATGGAGGAGAGAAAAAAAGCAAGCACGTTAAAGCTCAAACATTTAAGTTGATTTTCTACTTAGGAAGAATAGGGAAAAAAAAAATCCCAAAATATGAAAATTGACCCGCCGGTTCTGGTTTCCATTTTGCGCAGCTGAAAAGCAATAGTGTAGGGACAATGCAAATGCAGTTATGTGTTATGAAGGGGCTAATATTAATTATAGATGGGCACAAAAGCTTAGAAGAAGACGGGTTGTAGTTTCTAGAAAGTAACCCGACACATTGCTATTGATTCCAACACAAGCAAACCCGCAGAGGGGAGCTGTCAATCTTTATGGAAGCAGACCACCTCAGCTTTCCCCTTTGAAACAGCTGGTGGGTGAGTTTGAACTTCCAACTTTTGGGTTAGCAGCCCAGTGTTCATGGGACTTTGCCATCCGGGCTTCTTTTATGGGAAAGAGATGCCTCAAAAAACAGCTGTGTAGATGCTGCTCATTGACATGTGCTTTTGTACCTTGTCCTCTTGATGATTAATGAGCCTACGCATAGAACCTTGCTGGAAGGAACTGACAGTGAGAGATGATAACCCTAAGTGATCGTGAAATGGGCACTTAGTCAGTCAGAATAGTCAGAAGGGGCACAAGCCTGTTTTTAAAAAGCCCTTATGTTGCTAAACCTGAGTCTTTCAAAACTAAAGAGAGTTGTAAGAATAATATGGGTGCCTTTTCCTGTGAGTGTTTTGGGGGAGGGTAGGCGGGAAGAAGCGGGCTGGATTGGAGTGGGGAGACAAAATGTATGAGCAAAATCCAAGAGTAACTTTGAGGAGGTGGATACCACTTTCTAGTGGCTTAGGATACTAACAGTTGGATAATTTATTATTTGTTCCCCAAATAATCTGAGTGTGATTAGCATGAGTGTGGCATGTTATAACATTTTTGAGAAATCAAAAGTTTGGACATTGAAAAATTCAGGTCATCATGGGTGTACTTAAGACCCCCGTGGATGTACATCCCTGCACTGAGAACAACTCCGAGCTGCCGGGACTAGCGGGCACTTACCTGCTCATGCATAATTTCAGAAAGCTCCTTTGCCATTTCCCTGTAGTTGGCCTTCATTTCTTCCTGATACTCTAATTGGTCTTCTTTAATCAGACGTTCATTGACCACTAAGGCTTGACCACACGCTTCTACAAATTGTCTAGAGGAGGGCAGACAAGGAAAACCAGGTATGTTGAGAATGAAGCACCAGTCCACAGGGTGATAGCTCTTTCTTGACGGACCCCAGGAATCATCAGGACTTGAAGAGAGAAGAGACATTTCTGTGTGCCTTACCTGAAAACTTCTTTAAGCAACTTCACCTTATTGTCAGGGTATCTTTTCGTGTTTGTGACATCTAAGAAAGCTCGGGCATACGCCAGTGGACCAGCATTGACCTAGACAAAGGACCAAGAATGTACACTTACATTGCAGAAAAACTACCGCTCTCCTTTATTCATGTGCTAAAACTGCCATTTGTATGAATTCATTCTAATTCTAAGGGAAGAAAGCAGCGATTAAAGCTTATATTGCTGTATTTGATTTTTCATCATATCATCCTTTGATAAAGAAAGGGCCCTTAGGATGGTTCCTTTTACAGAACAGGAAATAAATGCTCAAAATATTTAAGGATTTGTTCAAAGATAAAACAGCTAATAAGTAAGCCCTCCTGGATCAGAGCCCAAGTCTTCCAACTTCATGCCAAGGATTCTATGCATGGTAGAATTAGGCTGCAGAAATGTGTGTCCTGCTACCATAAACTAACAGGTTGATCTGGTGACGTCAGTGCAAAGTTTGAAAACTAGTCTAAATGTCAGCTTTAGAAAGACAAAGTGAGTACATGGGTTCAAAGGGTCAACAATGACTTCATGACAAAGATCTATGGCCATACGAGGGCAGGGAACATAGATGAACAGAGCAGCACTCCCAGGATGTCCACACACTGCGGAGAACGCAACCAGTATCACTGAACAATGTGTGGAGAAATTGTTGACTGGGAACCTAAACTGCGGTGTAAACCTTCACTGAGAGCAGAATCAAATATAGTTGAAAACCAACCAAGCAGCAAACAAGGAAACAATGCAAGGAGAACTACAGGTTCACAATAATAGAGACTGGAATTCACCAATTTTGGTAATGGGTAGAACAACTAAAAGGATGATCAGTAAAGAAATAGAACACATTTGAACACTACCATTAACCAACTATATCTTAACAGATATCTACTGAAGCCTGTCTATCTAGCAACAGCACAATATTCATTCTTCTCTAATGTCCATGGATCATTCTATAAGATGGACCATATCTTGGGATACTAAGCCAACCTTGAGAAATCAAAAATCATACCAAGTTATCAACAAAACAAAAGCCTGGAAAAGACATAAATATGTGGAAACTAACAGAACATTAAGCGACCAACTGGTCAAAGGAGAAATAAAAAAGAAATAAAAGATCTTTAGAGTCGAATGAGAATGGAAATACAACATTCCCAAACTTACTGGTTGCAGCAAAAGCAGGACTCAGAAGGCGATGTGTCACAAAGGATGCCTGGGTTAAAGAAGAAGACATCAAACCAACAGCTGAGTTCTACAGCTTGGGGGACTACAGAAGGAAGAGCAAATGAAGTGCAAAGGGTCTGAGAGAAAGAAAGGAAGTGGAGCTCAGAGAATGAAAAACCCAAAGCAAACAGACAAAAACAGAACAGTAAAAAGTCAAGCTGACAAGCCTTTGGTGAGGCTGACAAAGAAAGAGCCAAGATGCAGATACCTAAAATTAGAAAGGAAATGAGTGGGAACCAACAATGTAAGCATGGAAAGAATTGTAAGGGAGTACGGTGAACACGTGTATACTTTAAAAAAAAAAAAAAAGGTAATGTCCAAGAAATGGACAAATTCCCCGAAACACATAAAACCCTGTATTCACTAAGGCAAAACTAAATCTCAGCAGAGCCATAACAACTGAAGTGACTGAGTCATTCATCAAACACACCCCAGCAGAGATGATTCCTGGACCAGATGGCTTCACTGGAAAATTTAAATCCTATTTAAATGTTTCCAAAAACCTAACTGAAGAGAGAATAGGTCCTGATACCAAAATCAGACAAAGATACCGCAAGAAAGCCACAGATGAAGCTCACTTATGTGAAGAGAATTGCCAAAAGCAGTCAACAGTATGAGGAAGCAGACATCTGAAAAACTAAGGGGATCAGAAACCACGAGGGAGAGGGATTCGTCCTAGGAATTCAAAGGTGGTTCAGTATTAGCAAATCAGTCAAGCCCACGATAGGCGACCAAAGGAATGGAGTCACCTGATCACCTGAAGTGAAACAGAAAAGGCATCTGACAAAATCCAATCCCTTTCCTAATGAAACAAGACACGAGCTAGGAAAGCCGGGGATTGCATTGACACAGTTTCTCTCAACACTGCTATTCAACCCCATGCTGGAAGTCCCCAACTGGGAGGAGGAAGTAAAACCATCTGTCGTCACAGAAGATTTAATTTTAAATATAGAACGCCCCACCCATTTCACAAGAAAGCTACTCTCATCAAGAAAGGCAAAATGGCTGGGTACGGGGCTCACATGCAAAACTCAGTTGGTTTTCCATGTATCAGCAATGAGCAAGCTGAAAAGGGAATTAAGGAACTATCACCATTGATCATAGCATCTAAAATAATAAAGTACCCTGAATAAATTTAAACAGGAACTCAAAAGCCTTGTTCATAGACAACTAGAAAATATAACCAGAAGTTACAGAAACTCCCCAATCTCCCGACCAAAAAAAAAAAACCACCCCCAAACATTTCATGTTTGTAGATCATAAGGCTTAATACATATAGTAAGATATCAATTCAACTCATAAAACGTTCAATGGCTGTGGCAGACATGGAAACATAGAATTCTCAAGTTGAGTACTTGTGTATCCAAACAATCGGGAGTGTAGAGAGAGAAGAAGGCCAGGCACTCTGGGCTGGGAAGGAAAATGTCCAAGGCATCTAAGACAGCCTGGGAAAAGCCTTGCTCATGTGACTATTGCATCATTTCCACTGGAGGGTGTGATGGGTAAGGAAGTAGGAATAGTTGTCCATCTTTTCTCTTACTGCTGGCCAAGGCATGTGCGTGCAGGTTGTGCTTCTGACCACTGGAATGAAGGACTTACACAGTAGGGGCAGGACAACTGAGCCACAGGAAATCACAGCAGGGGTGGGGTGGCAGAGGTACCAGTCACAGTGGCCAGGTGGGTCCTATGACAGAGAAATATCTGGGCACCTTTGTGTGGAGACCAAATGTGTCAGGGCAGGATGAGCCATCTGACTGGGTGGGTGGTGGGTGGGGAGGGAGCCGTGTTCTTTAGAATGAGAGGGGGAGTTTCATCAATTCTGTTTTGATCCTGCAATATCTAAGAAAAGAGAGCCGATACAAAGTTTAAAACTCTTATTTCTTTTCTGCTCTAACTTCTCCAGTGAATGCACTCCCAGAACATGTTAGCTGAGTCATTTGGTGAAGTCTAACTTAGGAGATCAATATATATGTTAATTGATTTATTGTATAGTTAACGCTGGCTTAGGAGAAGGGAATCCGTCTTGGGAAATATCAAAAGAACACAAACTCAGATTCTAAGGAGGTGCCCTTGGCAAGATGCCTCCTTCCAGAACACAAATCTGGACCAAAGGAATGCAAGGGCAGCCAGGTCTTTAGATGTAAACCCTGTGATGCACATTGCATTTCTGGATGGGAGGGCAGCAATTAGACTCTAAGTCAGCTAAGTAACAAAGACAAATGTACTGGTATCCTGGGTCATATGAACACTAGTTTGAAACCATCAGCAACTGCTCAGGAGAAAGACTGGGCTTCCTACTCCTGTAAACAGTTGCAGTCTCGGAAACCCACAGGGGGTCTCAGGGGGTCAGCAGTGACTCAATGGAGGTGACTTTGGTTGGGAATGAAAGCGGACTCTGGCACCTTGGAGGTTCATCCTGCTGACCTTCCCGAGCTGCCAATAGAGCATGCTGACTCACACCCTGCCTCTGTTACTGACCGCAGCGGCCAGTGGCCATTTAGTCTGGCTATGAGAGTGTGCGAAGAGGGACACTGAGAAGACTTTATAAGATCTAACGTAACATCACTGAGGTGTGCAGAGCCAAGAAGACACCTGGATGACTCTGTCCTACAAAATAGGAGCCTCGTAGTGACAGCATTATATTAATATCGAATATCATAATAAAATTAATTTTCCGGGGCTCCAACTGTGGTTATATTGGCAGCACACCAGTATAAACTTCATGTTTTCTTTCACAATCTAATTTTTGATTGTCATGATAGTTGGGCATTCTGTACACTTTAAACTCAAACAAAGAAAACTCACTGCCATTGAGTTGATTCTGACTCATAGTGACCTGATAGGATGGAGTTGAACTAACTGCCCCTGTGAGTTTCCAAGTCTGTAATCAGTATGTGAACAGAAAGCCTCATTTTGCCCTTGAGGAGAGCCTGGTGTGCTTGAACTGCTGGCGTTGTGATTAGCAGTCCAATGTATAACCCATACGATTCTAAAGTTACTTTCAAATTGTAAGGCATATATCAACCTTTAGAAAATTCAACAGACCTATCCAGCCCCACTCTTCCCTGAAGCTTACACTCCTCCATTGGCCTTTCTGATAGAGGTTGGAGTTGCTTGGATCACAGTGGTTTTGTTTTAAGCTACAAAAGACGGTGGCCTCTGGCCTTATATGTAAGCCTTCACTGTGCTAGAGTATTTATCGTCCACCTGCTAACTTATTTTGGTACCTAAGTCTTATGGACCATAAAGAAGGAGAAAGAAACATTTGTACATTCTTTTGTGGTGAGTGACATTGATAAAAATATTAGGTGACCAACCCCCAGGTCCTTTAGTGTGGCTCTTTAAAAAACATTTTTAAAAAAATTTCACATCACTTTATTGAGGACTTTAATCCATCCATCCATCGATGGTGTCAAGCACATTTGTACATATGTTCCCATCATTATTTTAAAAACATTTTCTTTCTACATGAGCCCTTGGTATCAGCTAATTTACCCTCCCCTCACTCCCTTGTGAAACTTTGCTAATTCAGAAATTATTATTTTTTTAATGTCTCTCCTCATCCACTTTTCTGATGTTCGTCCCCTTGGGAGGGGGTTAAATGTCAATCATTGTGATTGGTTCCCCATTTCTCCCCCCATCTACCCCTTTCCCCACTCCTGGTACCACTACTCTCATTATTGGTCCTGATGGGTTTATCTGACCTGGATGTTGCAATTCCAATATTGGACAAAACTAATCTCAAGATGCAAGCCATAACAAGAGATAAGGAGGGGCACTTATATAATGCTCAAGGGAACAGTAGACCAAGAATCCATGAGCATTATAAACATATATGTGCCCAACGAGAGACTGTGAAATTCATCAATCAACTGCTCCAAAAGAAGAAAAAAAAAATCACAGGCTCAACAATTAATAGTAGGTGACTTTAATACCCTGCTTTCCGACAAAGATAGATCCCAGGGAAAGAAGCTTAACAAGGAGACTACTGATCTAAACATTACAATTAGATGACAAGGCCTGATATATATTTTCAGAGCTCTCCACCCAAATGCAAAAGAATTCACATTCTTCTCAAGTCCACATGGCACATACTCAAAGACAGACCACATGCTGGGATACAAGTCGAATCTGTGTAAATTGAAGCACACAGAGATCATACAGACTTCCCTCTCCAACCATTATATTATAAGGCTAGATATCAACAAGAGAACGATTACGAAAACAAAGGCAAACAATTGGAGTATGAATAATTCTCTACTGCAAAAGGAGTGGGTACTGGCCTAGATCAGAGATGAAATTAAGAAGTTTCTAGAAACCAATGAGAATGAGATTATGACGTACCAAAACCTTTGGTACACAGCAAAGGCAGTTATCAGAGGAAGTTTGACAGCAATACATACACAGATGAAAAAGGAAAACAGACTTATGATTGATATGCTGGCACAAAACTTCCAGCAATTAGAGTAGAGTCAACAGGACAATTCTATTAAAGTAAAAGAAAGGAAATAATAAAAATCAGAGCTGAGATACAGAAGGGGGAAAACAAGAAAACCATGGAAAAAAATAATGCCGCTAAAAGTTGGTTCTTTGAAAGGATAAACAGAATCAACAGACCGCTTGCAAACCTAACCAAAGAAAGGAAGGAACAAATTTCAATAGCAAGAATAAGGGATGAAAGAGGGGACATTACAACAGACTCTAATGAAATCAAAAGGATAATTACACAGTCCTAAGAAGGATTGTACTTCAACGAATTCAACAACTTGGAAGACATGGATAAATTCTTGGAAAAACAATCCCTCCTTAGAATATCCCAGATGGACATCAAAAATCTCAACAGACCCGGGGCAATCGAAGAAACAGATAAAGTTATCAATGGATTACCAGCAAAACAAAAATCTCCCAGGCCAGATGGCTTCACAGGAGAATACTACCAAGCATTCAGGGAAGAACTGACACCAATCCTACACAAACTCTTCCAGAGCATAGAAAAGACGGCAAACTTCCAAACTCTTTCTATGAAGCTAGTATAACTCTGATACCTAAAGTGGGCAAGGATTCCACAAGGATCAAGAACAGACCAATATCCCTAATGAACATCGATACAAAAATCCTTAATAAAATACTGGTCAATAGAATACAAAAGTATGTAAAAGAAATAATTCATCATGACCAAGTGGGATTCATACTAGGGATGCAGGGATAGTTCAACACATGAAAGACCATTAGTATTCTTTGCCACATTGACATGAAAAATTATAAGAACCACATGATAATATTGATAGATGCAGAAATAGCATTCAACAATATCCAACACCCATTCCTGTTTTAAAAATTTGAGAAGATAGGAATGAAAGGAAAATTCCTCAATATAATAGTGTGGCTCTAATGAAGAGTTGAACCTCCCCTCCTCAAAAAAGCCAACGTGTTACAATGCTCTACGTATCATTCATGAGTGTCTCAGAAACAGAAAAGGAAATAAGAAGTATGCATAGTAGGAGTCTTCAAAAAGTTTGTGGATAAATGGAATGAGAAAATAATAGACTCATCCACAAGTTTTTTTCCCCAGCCCCCTTTTGTGTGTAGGTATATAAAACTGTGCTAGGATTATTTTTAAACCCATAAAATACCAATAACAAAATAAACATAATGGCCTTTGTGATTTAAACCAAACCAAACAGAATTAAAAAACCAAACTTGCTGCCACTGAGTTGACTCTTACTCATGGTGATCTCATGGGACAGCGCAGAACTGACCTTGTGGGTCTGCGAAACTGTAACTCTTCAGAGGAGGAGAAAGCCTCATCTTTCTCCTGTGGAGCAGCTGGGGGTTTAGAACCGCTGACTTTGTGTTTAACAGACCAATAACCCAGTACATCACCAGGGCTCCTGGGACACGATTTCACATGTACTAATTACTTAGGACTTGGGAGAAGGAGAGGCTTACTACTCCCATAAAGAGTTACAGATGCAGTTCCACCCCGCTCTATAGGGTTCAACCTGATGAACCGGAATCAACTTGATGACAGCAAGCTTGGTGTTTTGAGTTTAATTATCTAGGAAATCAAAATCCCTTAAAAAAAGATTTTTTATTGAAGTCTATAATATGCAAACACAAAGCAGATGTACCATACATGTATAGCTAGATGCGTGTCCACAATCTGAGCATATCCGTGTAGTGTGTACTTAGATCAAGGGCGATCTTGACAATAAATGGGGAACTCTTTCAGATGCCCAATGAAAACCAGTTTGGGATGGAGGAAGACACATAGGTGACCATCTTGAGACCTTGGGGTAGCCACCAAACGAAACTGATTGCCCCTAAAGTCGATTCTGACTCACAGCGACCCTACAGGACAGGGTAGAACTGCCCCGTGGATTTCCAAGACTGGAACTCTTTCCAGAGGCAGAAAGCCTCTTCTTCCTCCCTATGAGCCACCAGTGGGTTTGAACTATGGATCTCGCAGTTAGCAGCCCAAATTATAATCCAATACACCACCAGGGTTTCTTAGAATAGGAACAACAGATTTCTTAAAAGGACACAATATTGCTACCCAGCAAGGAAACGCTAACTGGGCTAGTTAAAAGTGAAGAATTTCTGTAATCAACAAACACCATTAACAGAGGGATACTTCAGGTACTTTTTCCAGATGCAGTCTTTGAAGGCAACTTACTGCTAATCATACTTTCTAACGAGCAGAGTCTTGATGTTTCTGACCAGGACCCTCCACTCATTCAAACCCACTGTCACTGAACTGATGCCGACTCAGGGAGATTTAAATCACTGAAACATCAAGTTACTATGGAGGGCTGGCTCAAGGCTAGCAGACAGCTTAGTGACAGAGAAAGATCTTCTAGGTGGGGGCCCCTGGGGCTCCTCGCCCTGTGACTTAACTGAAAGACATTGACGATCACCTGGTGAGACCCCAGGGTCTCCCTAAACTAGGCCTCACTGGTTGGGATATCTGGACACTCCCCAAGGTGCCCAGGCTTGGCCCTGCCCCGGCACCTGCGCTCACCTGGACGCTCACGCTGCCCTGGAGCTGGAGCTGGAGTTTGATCATATCCACCTCTGCGCAGCAGCACAGCTGCCGCAGCTCGGCCACCTTCTTGCTCATTTCGTCAATGGCCACCTCGATGGGGTTCAGGTCGGTGTGGTGCTGGTACATGACGGGGATCCGCTTCTTCACATATGGGAAGCAGTGTATGGCTGTGGAGGGGTGAGAGCCAGTGTCATTCCCCTGTCTGCACCGTGCAATAAACTTAGTACCATGCTCTAATTAAAGACTGACCCCACTGCTATCACTAATGGCTTTAATCGAGTGCTTCCTGTGGGCCTCGCACTGGGCTGAACATCCTACATGCACTATTTCCTCAATCCTTTTGGTACAATTAATTGTTAAGTTTCTTAGGCCCATTTGACGGATGAAGTACCCGGGGCCTACCAAAGTCACCACTAATATTTTGTGGAACCACAATATCGCCACATCTTTTATTATCATGCAACCATGTTTAAAGGCAAGTTGTGCCAAAGTACAGACAGTTGGGTCCCCGTGATGCCTTTAATATAAAAGCACATCTTTGAATTAGTCACTTATCATTTTCTGCTCCATTTTCAGGTCCTTATGAGCCCTCCCCTCCCGGGGAGCTGTGGTGAGAAGTGAATGAACTAGTAGGTATAGTGGCTTTGAAAACAGAAATATTAAACAACAACAACAAAAACTATTCCGAGAGATCACATAACAGACCGGGTCTAGAAAATGGTCCCATAAGTATATTCTCCAGAAAATTCATTTTCTTGCCCAGAGCCACTTCAGATGCTGTGCACAAAGTCTGCACAAATCTGAGACACCAGTGAACAATAACAAGTCATATAAAATGTTTCCACGCAAGTGTTTCAGGAATGAGAAATCTACAAGCGGTCACTCTAACAATAAAGTTGTTTTTAGATCCGTACAGCAACGAATGAAAAACCTTACCTTTTATTTAGAAAACCAATGGCTATTGTTGTTATGTATCACAATAAGCTATATGACCATATCATCGCTGAAGGATTAGTTTAAAAAGAGATGAAAACATCAGGTTCTAATTTGACTCTGATTTCACCTATCTTGTTGCTTTCCAGGACCTCTACAGAGGTGCGATGTGCTTGTGTAACACACATTTACCAGTAGACACGTAGGCAGCCTGGTGGCATAGTGGGTGGGGAGTCGGGCTGCTCCTCATGAGGTCACCAGCCACTCCACAGGAGGGAGACGACACGTTCACTCCTGTACAGTGTGACAGGCTCAGGAGTTCCCAGGGCAGTTCTGCCGCGGCCGAGTTGGAATCAACAGGCTGTCAGGGAGTGGTGAGTGAGCAGACATGCACGATTGCAAGGGGGCTTCAAAGAGGTGGTGGACATTTTCCATTCTCTTTCAGTTCCAGTTTTGCCTGCCACAAGCTTTTTGATGCCCTCCTCCCCCAGTGCCTCCGTCCACTCACGACCTTTTTGTTTTCATTTTATTCTGTGGTGGCTGCTGACAATAGATCCAGCAGCACTGGGTCAGGTACCCAGCGGCGATCGTTAACTATTTCCAGTTGTACCGCCATTCTCACTCCCTATTTGGGCTATTCTTCCCCAATTAATACAGATTCATTTCCCCCCAATGGGTGAAACGCACTTTAGATTTTTAACACGTAAAAGTACGATGGGCTTGCTTAAAGCTCGACCCGCTGCTGTGCGGAAAGTGGTGGTGGAGACTTTGCTCAGGAAGGACTTACGGCAGAACGCAAACCGCTGCCAGCTTCCCAGGAAGTGCAGGTTCCGGTGGGCCAATCACAGGTTGGAGCAGAACTGGAAAGAGTTCAGCCAGATGTGGCCTCCCTGGACACAAACTCGTCCCGTCCTCGCTAAGAGTTTCATCTACCAAAGTTCAAGCGTTCACATCTTATATTTCCTTGTGGTTTTCACAGACAGACTTATACGGTTTTTAATGAGCAGAACTGAGATTAATGAATCCTCCAAGAATTGTTTAGGGTCCTTTCACAATGTGCCCAGAAGCAGACATTTCTGCTTCCCCGGCAGGGAGGTGACAATCTATCTCCCGTGGAACTGCATTTGAGCAGCCTTGTAGAAGCACTTGATGGCGGAGTTCTGCTTCGCTGTCATTTGGAAGGGAGAAATGCCTGGCAATGCCAATAGCCCCGTCAAAACACATGCTGATTCCAGGTTACCTGACGGTCCCTGGCACAGGGGCTTGTGTGTTGGCTGCTCCCCAAAGGTCAGTGGTTCAACGCCACCTGCCTCTCCCCTGGAGAGAGGAAGCTCTCTTCCCATAAAGATGGACAGTCTCAGAAACCCTTGGGGCCAGTTCTACTCTGCCCTAGAGGTCGCTACGAGTCAGAATCAACTCACGGGCAGTTGGTTTGGTTTTTTATTGTGTGGCATCACCACTGCCTCAGAGAGAAAAACAAACTCCCTCACTGTGTAAAACGCTGAGTCTCTGCTCTGGGGACGTCTGGTGTAATCGCCGTTAAGGTAAAGGAGCAGACAATTAAATTAATACTCAGAGGGAACTCAGAGCCCACTCAGAGCCTACAAGGAACCCACCACCAGCCAGCCCCTTCCCACCTTCCTGGTTGGCTTCCACTCTGTCCCTCTCCCCCACTGCCCTCACGCTGTTCTAGCCACACTGGCCTCCTCTGTGTCCCTGGACACCTCGGGCGCACACACTCCCGGCCTGAAGTCTCTGTACTGCGGCTTGTTCTCCTTCCAGAGAGGGGCCTTCTTCGCCTCCCCACTCAGCATCACCTCCTTGCTGAGGCCCCTCCCACGGCCCATTGCCGGTCCCACAAGCTCCCCATCCCCGTCTCCTTTTGTCTCTGACTACGTGTGAGAAGGGCTTGAACCATTTCAAGGAGAAAAGGAACAAAGAGCTCTGTGGAATCTCTTCAGCCCCCAGGTCGGTTTGCCCACTGCGTCTCCTCTGGCTGGGGCAGAAAGCTGCAGAAGGGCAGAGAGACCTGCGTTTTGCTAAGAAACGACAGCCGAAGGCAGTGCTCAAAAGTTAGGTTGAATTACTGAACAGATTGTTGCCTGAATGAAAGAGCTAATGGGCCCTGGAAAATGGCAAGGTAGGGAACTGACTGAGCAGCCACTGCGTTAATCATAAAAGGCCCCCATTTGGAGGTGGGCAGTCCTTTAGGAAGGAGAATGGAGATAAGACGCCTGGTAAGTGTGGGTGACAGACTGTGTGTTCTGGCTAGATGGATAGGAAGGTGTCGGGGGCTGTAGGGCATTTCCAAGCCAAGTCACTGGCAAGCAATGAGCATCTGGTCCGGACTAGGAGGATGTGGGCACAGTGACTGGGAAGAGACATCCGGCCCCGGGAAGAAGGGAGAACAGAGATCAGATCGGGCAAGCTGATAAATTTAAACCTAGTATGCGGTGTTTGAAGGTTTCTACAATTGCAGCAAGCTGACTAAGTGAACCACCCCACAAAAGTGACACCAGCCAGGTTCTGGGTGGGACGGGCCAGGACTTTCCTATTTCTTGGAAGGCCAAGGGTCAGATGTGAATCAATGCAATGGGAGGAAGAACTGAAGGGATTAATAACCCAAGGGCAAACCTCAAGTTCAAAGTCTTTCTGAGACTATCCTACTCTGTGGATCTTTAACTAGAAGTTGATAGAGTTTACATGCTTTATTTTTAGTAGCACCCTTATAACCCCTTCTCTGAATTGTTATGATGCACAGGTAGCTAACCTTTACGTCACTTAAGATCTTCAGGACAAAGACTGCATCTTGTTTTGTTGTACCTTCACCCCCTTGCCTCAGCAATGGCCTCAAAGAGATGGAGCTCAATGATGGGTGTTGTCTCCCATAGCTGCTGCCCAGTTGGCCCTCGGTGGCCCCGTGTACAAAGTGACTGCCCTGGTCTACAGATTTTTCACTGGCAGATAGTTTGGAAATGGACTGCCAGGCCTTTCTTCCTAGTCTAAGACATCTGGAAGCTCCACAGTTATGGCTCAGCATCACAGCAATAAGCAAGTCTCTCCTGACAGAGGAGTGGCTGCATTTGGCTGGTCATCAAACCAGGGTCTCTGACACGGACAGAGAGAATTCAACCCCTGAAGCACAGCTCCCAGCAGAATGAAGCACAGCCCTGGTTACAGTTTCCAGAGCTATATAGTAGAGACAGGTGGCTATCCTAATTCTCATTATATATATGAGGAAGCTAAGGCCCTGAGAGGCTACTGTCAAGGTCACACAGAGGGCTTGGGCCTGGTCCGTGAGACTCTCTGCACTGCCCCTTCCAGGTCCTGTGGCTGACTCCCTAGGCCAGCAGCATGTGTGCCTGCTTTGGTCAGTCGAATGGATCCTGATTCTTTGAACTCTTCTGTGCTGGCACACGCAGAGTTTCATCCAAATTTGGTAAATTACACTAATGAAAATGTGACTAGAAAAAGCAGCCAGTGGTAAGGCTTATGAAGCTATATGCTAATTTAACAGAAAAGTAAACACAATCCAGACCTTGACTCAGTAGTGAACTGATTTTAAGAGGTTCTTAAACCGAGTGTGCCCTAGGATTGCCTGAAAGCTTGTTAAAACACAAAGGCTGGGCCCCACCCACAGAGCTGAAGACTCCAGTAAGTCTGGGGCTGGGCCCGAGATTTGTCTAACAAGTTCCGGGCTGATGCTGATGCTGCCAGTCCTGGGACAGCCCACTGATAAAGGCTGACTTAAGGAATCAACCATCAAGGCATCACAGCTGCAGAGATAACGCACTGATAAGTTCCATAACATGATTCCACCTAGAAATGTCGTTATCTTTAGCACAGCTTTGCCACAGCGGTATGCATTAGAATTAGAATATGAAACCAATTAGGGATGAGGAGGGTTCCTGTTTGCGAGGTTAGTGCTATTTATGCTTTACAAATGTTGTCTTATTATTCTGAAAACTGGAGCAGGGTCTCTTTAATTTTTCTTCTTACCTTTTAAATTTACATTTTTGTCTCAATCCCCTTACCAAACCAAACCAAACCCTCACAGAGTTGATTCTGACTCAGAGCAGCCCTATAGGACAGGGTAGAACTGCCCCGCGAGTGTCAGACTGGAACTCTTCATGAGAGTAGAAAGCCTCGTCTCTCTCCCTCAGAACGGATGGTGCTTTCAAACTGCTGACCTTGCAGTTAGCACCTCAAGTCATAACCATACACCACCAGGGCTTCACAATCTCCTCACAAGGAAGGGTGAAATCTTCCCTGGGATATGCTGTTCTAATGTAGTTTATAATTACATATATACACATACCTACATTATATATATATATACACATATGTATATATACATGTATTGTATGGGTTATTTTGTTATTGAGATATAACTTACCCCTTTATATATGTTTATTTGTGTGTGTATACACACACACATGCATGTATACATTATGTATTATATATACATATAGATATATTCTATACACATGTGTACACATACATATATGTATGTGTACATGCACATGTGAGTAAATTGCAACTAAAAAAAGCAAATATATACACATACACATAATATGTGTATATACACACATGCATATATATATGTATAAAATGTAGGAATTATTTCCTCTTTTATTGAGATTTATTGAGATTTTATTCAGTTAGTGTGAATTCAATATCAAGAGCTCAGCCTAGCCCACAATCCAGCACCTTGCCAATGCCCCTGAAGCAATGGAGGCTGAGAGCGGTCCACTGCAGGCTACTCTCATTTACATTGCTGGCCCTGTCCTCAGAGTAGGTGGGTCAGCCTTCCTCAAGAAGGTAAAAAAAAAAAAAAGAAGGTAAAAATCACTCCCAGAAGATTCTACACTTGTTTGGAACTGGAAAAACACACTTCTGAGAATAGCTTCTCCATGATTACACAGTGACAGAGGGACCAATGAAAACCTCTGAGGCTTCCTGGTCTGGCAGGAGCTGAGCTGAGGTTGGCCAGCCTCCATCAGCAATGAGGTGGGAGGGCCTCGCCTAAGGTTGTCCGCAGGCACACCAAACTCAAGGTCATTGAGTCAATTCTGCCCCACAGCGACCCCTGGGGGTTTCCAAGACTGCAGATCTTTGCAAGAATCAAAAGCCCCAGCCTCATCTTTCTTTCACGCAGCAGCTTGTGGGTTTGAACTGCTGAGCTGACCTTGTGGTGAACAGCTCCCCTGTAATCCCCTACACCCCCGGGGCTTCCACACAAGCGCACGAGCCATGCAGGCCCCACTAGGCCTAAAATCAACCCACTGGGCCAGGTTATATAGCCTGAGCCACACCGATGAGCCGGACGGTCGCTCTTCTGTGCAGGGTTGTGCGCAGGGATCCTTCACCCGTGCGCCATGGCCCGATACACCAAGCTCACTGCCATCGAGCTGGCTCCGCCTCATAGCGACCCTCTGGCCCTCTAGAGAGAGCTCCATAAAGCTTTCTACAAAGTGCTCGAATTTCTGTGCGAAAGCTTTCTAGGGGAAGAGGGTCTGTTAACCTGATTCTTCAAAGAGGAACCATATAAGATACAATTTTAACTGGGCGGGTGCTTAGAGAACAGTAACAACTAGAGTATGAAAAAGCAAGCGCTAGGTAGACGGGAAGCAGAAGTGGGCAGGTGTGGCGGAGAGAAAGGCGCGCGTGCGTACCAGTGAGCACTGTGCGCCGCTTGCACTGCTCCGCCACCCCGCCCTGCCGCTTTCCCGCCTGCGTGAAGGGCATCTCAAACATGAAGCGCCGGATGTTGTGCGATCTCTCGAAGTCCGTCTTCCTCTCCTGCAGTTCTTTTTCATCAAAGAACGGGGTCACGTGAGTCACCTGGATATACGCATATTTGGAATCCAGATCCTTAGGGTTGACCTGCAGGCGAATAAGCGACACTGAGGATGGATGCTGTTTTAGGAAAACTTTCAAACCTGCAGAAGGGGTGCAACATTTTACAGAGCTTTTCGGGGGAGGCGGGGAGAGGTAGAGGGAACACCCATATAACCGGCTACTGAGATTCAACAGTTTTATTATTTTGCTATCTCTGTTTCAAATACAATACCCAAACCAAACCAAACTCACTGCCAGCGAGGCAATTCTGACTTTTCGCTACCCAACAGAATAAAGTAGATCTGCCCCTTGTGGGTTGTAGGGACTATAAATCTGTATGTGAGCAGAAAGCCTGGCGGTGAGTAACCCACACCACCACCAGGGCTCCCAGAAGAGACACAGTGGAGCTGAATAATGTGCGGTAGGAAGTACGCCGGTTAAAGTCGCCTCGGAAAGATGGCCCAGCCACATGCGCCATTCCTGGTCCCTTTGCTGGTAAAGGTAAAGGAGGACCCGGGAGAGAACCGGAGACAAAGTGCATTCGAGATTTCAACGACTTTTCAGAAGACAGAGGCGCCCAGAAGTGGGGTCCCTGACCCGGCAGCGTGGGAAAGTGAAAAACCATGCCCAAAGACAGTACCAATGAGACGTGCACAGGTTCACTCAGAAGCCCGAGAGGACCGGCATTTCCAGTTTTTGGGATGACGGCTGCAATGTGTAGGGATTGACTCCAGGACAGTAAGCTGTTTCGTTTAAGGACGAGTGACAGAGTGAGGCATGGGGCTGAACACACGGTGAGTGGCTGAGAGTGTCTGTCTGGGGGGTGCCCAGGCCCAGCCCCAGGCCCTGTCCCTTAGGAGTGAGCTAGAGAAATGGGCTGGGATAAGCTGCGCAGAAATCAAGGGGCAGGGATGAAGCAGACACAGTCTGGGTGAGAGGCTGCAGGCTTGACGTGGGGCCACCAGCCCCTTCTTGCCTGCATCTGGAACGCACCAGTCCGATACTTGCCCCTTTTTTTGTCCCCTCCCTAGCGCTCTGTGCATTTGGACAGTATGAGAATGTCTCCTTTTCTGGAGAAAAAGCAGAGCCCCCAGGAAACTACTTGCGCTCGTGGGAACCCCAAAGGCAGGCTGAGGAAAGCAAGGGCGCTCTAAAGGAGCGCTCTCAATCCGAGTGCTTGAGAAAGGCAGGGTGCCACATGCGCGCACGTGGCGGAAGGCTGACCCCAGGAGCATTTGCAAGGCAGGGAAAAGGCGCTCTATCTTTGCCGGTGTTTCCTGTGGTCATGGACGCCCAGCTTCCTGAGGATCTGCTGAAGACAGGAGGCCATGTGGATGGCCAGGGCCAGTGTGGAGGCTCAGAAAGGGCTTCCTGAGAACATGCACTGAGAGGGAAGCCTCACCAAGCATAAAGTCGATCTCCCTCCCACCAATGTGCTGGCTGGTTCCTTCCTGAGTCTGTCTCTCTGCCTGTCCATCTGTTCTTCTGTATAAACATCTCACAAACAACCAGTCATACAGAATATGACTGTGGGGTGGGGGTGGGGGGAGTACCATGAGTCAGACCACTGTCCAAGAAAATTATATTAGACAACATCTAAGAGGTATCAAAGCCCACGGATGGCGAGTCGATTCCAACTCACAGTGATCCTGTAGGCCTGAACAGAACGGTCCCCACAGAGTTTATAAGCCGGTAAATCTCTAGTGAAGAAGACGGCTGACTGTCTCCAGGGGAGAGATTGGTGGGTTCAAACTGCTGACTTTGGTTAGCAGTCAATGCTTTAATGCATACACTACCAACCTCCTTAACCAGGTAAGGATGACTTTATTCAAATGCTATTGCAAGCGGGAAGAGACCTGACCTAAGTGTGAACTCAATTCTGCTGAAACCAAAGGAAGCATGGCTTTTAAAACATATCTGTCTTGGAAGAAGCACCTCCCGACTGCCCCTCCGAGGCCAGGGCGGTGAAACGAGGTCTTCAGTGCTTGGGACATGGTGTCAGGAGAGACCAGTCCCTCAAGGAACTGGATTGACACAGTGGCTGCAGCAATGGGCTCACACATAAGAACCCTGGTGAGGATGGCGCAGGACCGGGCAGGGTTTCGTTCTGTTCCGCACAGGGTCGCTATGGGTTGGAACTGACCCGGTAGCATTTAACAACAATAACTCCCACAAAGATTTACAGGCTGGAAAACCCACAGGAGCAGTTCTTCCCTGTCCCACAGGGTTAAAGTGAGTCAGAACTGACTCGATGACCGAGTTTTCAGGGATTTTTGCTTGGTTTGGATGCACACGAGTGGATAGTACAGGACCAGTCACACGTAATCAATAACAAATTATGGAATCTCTATCGCACTTATCCAAACACGATCGTACCTTGCCAGAATCCTGTATCATTTTGACATTTTCGGAACCAAATTTATCCGAGTAGAGTTTAAGGAGTCTTTGCGAAATTTCTGATAGAGGCGTGAGCTTGGGTTCTTTGTAAATATACTCCTTTCCATCTTCATCTTCAAAGAACCCCTGTGACACAAAGCACCATGAGCGCTGTGCTCCCACGGGAGCCCAAGGCTGTCCACCCGGGAAGTGTCCTTTGGTTAGGAGGGCAAACGAACAAACGAACAAACAAAGCAGGGTGACTCTAAAACAAAACCCTACATTCGCAGGCTCTCCTGATGGGAAGGACAACGACAATAAGGTGATGTGTGGGCGCAGTGATTAAGAACACAAACCGTCACACACATCCCACAACATTGCCATTAAGTGTGGCGTGAGATGGAGCACTTGAGATTCAAGGCTGTGTTCTCTCGGTCAAGTCAAGTATGGGATTCAACCTGTTTCACATTCCCAAGAAGGAGAACCCTCCAACAACACAAGCCACAGTTGCCTGCAGGAGGGGTCTCAGAGATGACCCTCACTCTCCTCCTGACTGTTTCCATGTACATCGGAGTGTTTAGACAGACAGACAGAAGTGAGTAGTCTGGAGAGCTTGCAGCAGAAGCTACGCCAACTCCTGATTTGTCTGACTTATTAGAAAAGTATTAAAGGTCTGGATGGAGCACAATATCAGCCAATATCACCAGTCACCACTTGCTTTAGCACCAATCTTGTTTGAATGCAACAAGGCTTAGAGTGACATGGGAAGTGAAAAAGGTTGAACATTTAAAAATCCAGGCCAGGGTTAATATTTGGAATAAATAATAAAAAACCTTTCACCTAAATTAAAAGAGACAAAATGGTGCAAAAAACCAGAGTGGATATTAAAAAAGGAAAAAGACAAGCTAACGTGAAAAAAAAACACAACAAAAAACACCCACATCAAACTAGGAGTTTAGATGCAGTAATTTCACTACATTACTTGCTTTTTAAAGCATTTACTGTAATTACCTCCACATCTGTTTCACTGTCTGTAAACTGGTATTGCTATAAAGTTATAAGAGACAATAACAGAATAAATTGAAGTTATATAGTACTCACAGAAAACCACAAATGGATCATAATTGCTACCATTTAATAATGTTAGATATTTGTAGGTTAACATCAAGTTAAATTAAAACGAACCCTTTCAGATGGGCATATTACAAGGATAAATGTGCTGACAGAGACGTTATACTCTGAAAAGGTAACAGAGGAACAGGCACAACGGAAACCAGAAAGTCTTAATTTTGGTTTAAAGCATGCAGTACAGATGTATAAGGAAGTGGATGATTGTTTTTTCTGTAAATGGAATAAAATGTTATTTGTTTGTTTGGGAGTCTGTAATGACAAGACGGAATATGCATACAGATTTGAAAAAGAAACTTACAAACTACATAGAGAGACCAAAGATGCGGCTAAGGATGTTTTATGGAGGGAGAACTTACCGCAGCCTTAAGAAAGTAATAAAGAAAAGACAGAAGGAAGGAAGAAAAGGAAAAAGAAGCAGAAACGTTTACTGAGGAAAGCAGGAACCATACTCAGTATAATACAGTCATCAGATTAGCATTCACAGGCATTAAAACCAAAACATTTAACAAATCTAACTGGAGAAGGGAGGCAGGGGCTCTGGAAGCCTCCAGAGGGAAGCCTGCTTACCTGCCCAAAGAAGGCCACTCGGAAGTAGGTGCCCAGGAGTCTGCGGCCCGAGTGCATGACCTCGGTCACCTTGCTGTAGGCACGGTGCAGTGTGTCGTACAGATGGGCCAGCCTCTGGAAAGCAGAACAAAGCCCATGTCTTCCTGCGTGCCAAAGGGGGCAAGCCATTGTAAAACAGCAGTCCCGTGACGGCACCAAACTCCCTCCTTCACGCTCATTCTGACACCTGGCAACCCACCCGGACAGGCGAACTGCCTGTGCCTTCCAGAGACGGTAAATCTTGTTGGGAGTAGAAAGCCTTCTTTCTCTTGCAGAATGGCTGGTGGTTTCAAACTGCTGGCCTTGTGTCTCAACATGTAATATATTAGGCCACCAAGCCTCCTTTCAATGTGACAGAAATGCCACGAGTAAAACATCAATATCTTTTTGACTGTATACTCTGCAGTGGTTTATCCCCCGCCCCCCTTCAACCCCAGAGATGGTAAATAGATCTATGTAATGAAACACTTGCCATTTCAACAGGTTTTCACATTCACTGAATTATGTAATTCAGAGCCATTAATTATGCTCTTCCTGTTGTTCAAGCATCACCACTGCCCATCTTCTAGACCCCATGACCCTATCAAAGACTCTGACTGTGCCCGGCGCAGCGAGTCCCCGTCTCTCTCCTGCCACCTGGTAACCACTAATGCACGTTGGTTGTTATAGTCTTGCATGGTCCAGATTCTTCAGAGAAGGGGGTAGTGGTTATGCGTTGGGCTGGAACCCAAAAGGTCCACAATTTGAAACCATCAGCTACTCCACGGGAAAGTAAAGCATTGCATCTCCAAAAGCCCAAACTGACAGGGGGTTCTACCCTGCCCTTTAGGTCGCCATGAGTCAGCACTGACTTCATGGCCGAGGAGTGTATGCCCCACATACATGCCTTCATCGATTCATGGACACTGAGTCTGTTTCCACCTTCTGACTAGTGTGCATATGCCGCAGGGAGTGATGGCATACGAGCTGCAGTGGTGCTTTAGAATGGTAATAGTTGTTATTCAAAGGTGCAGCCTGCGTGAGGACCCATTGAGCCCGGATGGTAGGAGGTTAAGGTTTTCCACCCGATGATAAACACTTTCTGCTTTAAGGTAGCACGACGTGTCAGACATGGAAAGGCCTTCTGCCGACATCTTGGGACTGCTTTTATGACAATGCCCACTTGGCATTCCGAGTTGTACTGGGCTACCTTGCCAGGCCAGGGGCGATGGAAGAGACCACTGGTTTCCCAGGCAAGTGGAGCGTGGTGGAGAGCTGAGGGAATGGACACTTGACTACAAAGCTCTGCCCCTGAACAGGTTTCCACATCAAGGTGCTATACAGTGAACCCTCGCCACTTCGTGCTTCGACTTCCGCGGCTTCACTCTATTGCGGTTTTTGCGTAACAGCGCATGCTCTGTCATTACTGCCA